GGGGCTGGGGGCGCTAGTGTGTGTGGGGAGAGGCTGCAAGGGGGGGTAATAGGGGGCTGGGGGCGCTAGTGTGTGTGGGGAGAGGCTGCAAGGGGCTAATAGGAACCTGGAGCGGCCAGTGGGAACCCTAGCCCCCACCCTGCCCCCATTAATAGCCCCATTAATAGCCCCATTAATAACCCCATTAATAACCCCATTAATAACCCCATTAATAGCCCCATTAATAGCCCTATTAATAACTCTATTAATAACCCTATTAACAGCCCTATTAATAGCCCTATTAGCTAACGAGGGGCAGGGAGGGGGCAAGTGGCTGCAAGGAGGAGGCTGGAGGGACCGGCGCGGGGACGGGTGGCCCGGGGGGGCTGATAGAGGTTGGGGGGGCGCTAGGGGCTGCAGAGGGAAATAGGGGCTGGGGGGGGCGGCAGCCCCCTGAGCTCCCCCCACCCCCACCCGCAGAGCGAAGGAGCCCGGGCGAGGGGGGGCCGTGGGGAGGGACCCCCGAGCGCCCTGGCAGCCCGGAGCCCCCCGCCGCCGCCCCGGGGGGCTCCCCGACCCCCGCCTTTCCCCCCCCCGCCGCCCTGGAGGGCGCCCCGGGCCCGCAGCCCCCCCTGCCTGAGAAGCGGCCCCCGCCGCCCCCCCCCGGCGCCGCGGGGGCGCCCGGGACCGTCACCTTCGCGCAGGACACGTCCCGGTTCTGGTACAAACCCGGCCTCTCGCGGGAGCAAGGTAGGGCGCGGGGGGGGCGGGCCCGGGGGGGCCCAGGCGTCCGGGCTCACCCCCCCTTGCCCCCCCCAGCCATCGCGCTGCTCAAGGACGAGGAGCCGGGCGCCTTCCTCATCCGCGACAGCAGCTCCTTCCAGGGGGCCTACGGGCTGGCGCTCAAGGTGGCCGCGCCGCCCCCCAACTGCGTCACCCCCAGCAAGGGTAGGGGCCCCCGCCCCCTTGGGGACGCCCCGATGTCCCCTCCAGCCCCCTCCCTCCCCGCAGCTGAGCCCTCCCGTGTCCCCCCCATCCTCGCTGTGTCCCCAAGTCCTCCCCGTGTCCCCGTGTCCCCCCTGCCCGCTGCATCCCGAGCCCCCCCCGGCACCCCCAGCCCCCAATGTCTCAAACTAAAGGGAGGGGGCAGAGGCCGGGGGGGGTCGTGACGCCCGAGCCCGGCAGCACCGAGCCCCCCCTGCCCCCCCCAGGGGACCCCCAGGAGCAGCTGGTCCGGCACTTCCTCCTGGAAACGGGGCCGCGGGGGGTGAAGATCAAGGGCTGCCCCAAGGAGCCCCATTTCGGTGAGGAGCCGGGGGGCGGCGCTGGGGGGTGCTTTAGGGGGGCTGTGTTGGGGCGCCCCCCTAAAGCAGCCCCCCCCCCCCCAAAAAAGGGAGCCTGCCCGCCCTGGTGCTGCATCACTCCATCAGCCCCATCTCCCTGCCCTGCGCCCTCCGCATCCCCAGCCAAGGTAGGTGGGGGGGGACAAGAGCCCCCCCGGTGTGGGGTGCCCCCAACCCCTCCCCCAGCACCTTCATTCAGGACCCATGGGTCCTTTGAGGGGGGTGCCCTCTATGCCCCCCCCCAAGTTTGGGGGGGACATGGGTGCCCTGTCAGGGGGGGTGCAGCTTGTTCCCCCCCCAGACCCCCTGGAGAAGCGTCTGGAGGTGCCCGTGCCCCCCAACATGAGCACGGCCGCGGACCTGCTGCGCCAGGGAGCCGGTGCGCCCGGAGGCGGGATGCGGGGAGGATACCGGGATACTGGGATGCCAGGATGGGGGTTCCCAGGATGCAGGGAGGAGGATGCCAGGATGGGGGTTCCCGGGATGTGGTGGGGGGGTGCTGGGATACCGGAATGGGGGTTCCCGGGATGCAGGGCGGGGATAGAGTGATACCTGGATGGGGGTTCCTGGGATGCAGCAGGGGGGATACTGGGATGGGGGTTCCCAGGATGCCGTGGGGGGATGCTGGGATACCAGGATGGGCGTTCCTGGGATATGCTGGGGGGGGATACTGGGACACTGGGATGTGGGCTCCCGGGATGCAGCAGGGGTGTGGGGGGGGTGGTACCAGGATGGAGGTTCCCGGGATGGGGGCTCCGGAATGGGGAGGGGGCTGGGACAGGAGGGGGGGCCAGGGGGTCCCCCCGGTGCCAGCCCCCCGCTGCAGCCTGCAGCGTCCTGTACCTGGGCTCGGCGGACACGGAGTCGCTGACGGGGCCGCAGGCGGTGGGCAAGGCGGCGGGCGCCGTGCTGGCCCGCGGCCCGCGCCCCCCCGCCTGCCCCGTGCACTTCAAGGTGTCGGCGCAGGGCATCACCCTCACCGACCGGCAGCGCAGGTGAGTGACAGCCCCCGCGCACCGCCGGCGCGCCCGCTACACCCGGCGACTACAGCCTGCCTCACCCCCTGGCACCGCCAGCCCCATTGCCCTCTGCGCTGCACCCCCGCTGTCACCCCTTAAGTACCACCGGCTCCGGGTACAACCAGCCTCCAGGTACCACCGGCCCCAGGTACCATCAGCCTCCGGGTACCAAACCCTGCTGCCACCCTCCCAGTGTCTCCTTAGGTACCACGGTCCCCAAGTACTGTCGCCCACAGGGTAGCGACCCCCGCCACACCCATCCCAGTGTGTCCCCCCCCCCAGGTACCACCGTCCCCCCCAGGTACCGCCGTCCCCCCCAGGTMCCMCCGTCCCCSCCAGGTACCRCCGTCCCCCCCAGGTACCACCGTCCCCCCCAGGTACCACCGTCCCCCCCAGGTACCGCCGTCCCCCCCAGGTACCACCGTCCCCCCCAGGTACCRCCGTCCCCSCCAGGTACCACCGTCCCCCCCAGGTACCACCGTCCCCCCCAGGTACCGCCGTCCCCCCCAGGTACCGCCGTCCCCAGCCTCCATCACCCGGCAGACCCCCACTCTCTCCCCCCATCCCACCGTTCTCCCCAACACTGTGGGGGCCCTTTGCAGCATTGGGGGGGGGGGCACCACCTCCCCCCCCTTGTCCCCCCCCAGGCTCTTTTTCCGCCGTCACTACCCCGTGGACAACGTCACCTACTGCAGCACAGACCCCCAGGACCGCAGGTACCGCGGCGGGGATGGGGGGGGGCACAACAATCCCAATTAATCCCCTTGTTAATGACCCCCCCTCCCCGTGCCCACAGGTGGGGGAACCCGGATGGCACCACATCGAAGTAGGTACCGGAGCTGGGGGGGGGTCCCCAGCTTGGGCACCGGTGCCACCCGCTTGTCACCGGTTTGGGGGTGCCGCCTGTGTCCCCCCCCCCATGTCATTGTCCCCCCCCCAGGATCTTCGGCTTTGTGGCCAAGAAGCCGGGGGGCCCGTGCGCCAACGCGTGCCACGTGTTCGCCGAGCTCGACCCCGAGCAGCCGGCCGCCGCCATCGTCACCTTCGTCACCAAGGTCATGCTGGGCACCCACCGCAAGTGACCGCGGGGGGCGGTCGCTGTGCCCCCCCCATGGAGCTGCTGCCCCCCCCGCTGCTGGGGGGTGACAGTGTGTGGGGAGGGGGGCACGCTGGGGGTCCCCTGCCAAGGGGGGGGGTGCAGCCGGTGCCCCCCCCCGGCCGCCAGGCGCTAACGAAGCAGAGTCTCTATTTTTGTCTACGAAAAGATTTATATGAGCTTTAGTCAGACGTCTCTAATATATATACATATACGTTATGTGGGGGGCACCGGGCTACAGCTTGGGGGGGGTCCTGTGCCCCCCCTCCTCCTTGTCCTTGTGCAAATGCCAATGGAGAAAGAACCGTCTCGGAGCCTCCTTCCTGCGGCGCGCGCCGGGGGGCTGCAGCTGGGGGGCCTGCCCCTTGGGGGGGCATTTTACATTCACCAAAATGGGGGGGGGTAACAGTGACACCACGACCAGGGTGGGGGGAAAGGGGGACCCTTGACTCTGCCCCCCAAATTTAACCAACCCCCCCCAAATTGGGAGGGGGATAACTGTCCCCAGGGTGGGGGGTAGCAGGAGGGGTATCAGTCCCCCCAACCCCACAGGGGTAAATGGGGGCAAAGAGGGTTCCCCCTCGGGGGGGGCAAGGCCTTAAAGTGCGGGGGGGGGCGGGGGCCCCTCAGCCGCTGAGCGGGTGCAGATCCACCTTGACCTTCTCGCCGCTGCTCAGCATGCCCACGGTGGGGAAGTAGCCGCCGGGCGGCACCACCGCCTCCTTCTTGCCGATGATCTTCCCGTTGCGGGTGAAGAACACCTGGACGGGGGGAACGGCTGGAATGGGGGGGGACACCCGGCGGGCGTGGCAAACAGCCGGCGGGAGGGTGTTTTGGGGGTGAATCAGGGTTTCCAGCACTTGGAACCCCCCCGTTATCCCTCCACCGGGCCCCTGGGGTGGGCACACGGGGATGAGCCGGGTCCCAACCCCCCAACCACAGTGTGGGGGGGTCCAATTTGTGCCCCCCCCACCCCCCCGAGCTCTTACCACGACCTTCCTGCCCTCGTGCCCCTGCTCCATGTCCTCGCCATCCTCCTCCTCCTCCTCCTCCTCGTCGTCGTCGTCGTCGTCCTCCTCCTCGTGGTGCAGGTAGAGGACGTTGCGGACGCCGCGGGGCCTGGGCCTCGTGTCGCCGGTGTCACAGGGCTCGTCGCTGTCGCCTGAGGGCGCGGGGGGGGCGGTGGCACCCCGGGACACGGCCCCCGGCCCCAGCCCCCCCCGGCGCGGGGTACCTTCGCTGTCCAGGATGTAGTCGCGGGGGAACATGATGCCGCAGCCCATGATGTCCCCCTTGTAGCAGCGGGGCCCAAAGGGGTCCCCGACGCCGCTGCCGTGGAAAATCTTCCCGTCGTCTGCGGGGGGGACACGGGACACGGTCCCAGGGGGACATGGGGGCACGTGAACCGTCTCCCGCCCCCCCGCCCGGCTCCCCAGGCCAGCTGGGAACGGGACAGGACTCCAGGAAGAGGAGGAGGAGGCTGAAGGGCCGGGCGAAGGGCAGGGGCAGGGGCCGGTCCCGGGAGGCGCCGCATCCGCCCGGATCCCACATTCCAGCCTGGGGGGGCTGGGGACGAGCGGAACAAATGGGCTGGGGGGACAGGGAGGGCGGCGGGGGGGACACCCCTATGCAGGGGTGCCAGGGGGGCACCGGGGACCCCGCTCACCTGCGTGATAGGCCACGGAGCCCCGGCTCCAGCCGGGGTGCCGGTTTTTGGGATAGTCCTGGGGCGGAGAGGAGGATGAGGAGGCGCAGGGGCTGTGTGCCCCCCCGTGCCCGTGTCCCCCCCATAGTGCCCATGTTCCCCCCACGTACCCGTGTCCCTCCACGTGGCCATGTCCCCCCCATGGTGGCCATGTCCCCCCCATGCCCATGTCCCACCATGTGCCCATGTCCCCCCATGGTGCCCACATCCCCCCATGTGCCCATGTCCCCCCGTGTCCCGCCCCGTGCCCGTGTCCCCCCATGGTGGCCATGTCCCCTCCCGTGCCTGTGTCCCCCCCATGCCCATGTTCCCCCATGGTGCCCACGTCCCCCCGTGTCCCCCCGTGTCCCCCCGTGCCCGCACCTTGCGCGCCAGCCCCAGCGCGATGTAGCACTTCTCGCCCGGGTCCACGATCTCCACCTCGAAGTAGTGGCTGCGGGTGCAGAGCGGGCGCCGCGCCTGCGCCAGCCCCACGTCCACGATGCTCTTGCCCTTGCCCACGTACTCCAGGAGCTGCGGGGACAACGGGGGACACGGGGGGACACGGGGCTCAGGGACACGCGGGGCCGCCTGCGCCTCCCCACGGGCCATGTGGGATTTGGGGAGCCAGGAGCACCCCGAGCAGCGGCTCCCGGGGCATGGATGTGCTGGGGGCGGGGGGGCGCTGCCGGGAATCCAGCGGGAATTCCCGAGCGGGGCCGTTTGGGAGGCCGGGATGTTGACAGGGCTCGGGGCGGGCGGGTCCCCGCCGCGAGGCCGCGGGATTTGCTTTGGCCACCAGCCACATTCCAGCCCGGCCGCTTTTGTTTCCTGCCTCCGAGGGCTCTGCGTGTCCCAAAGCGGCCGCTGGAAAAAACGATGGGAGCGTCCGGAGCCGGCGGCCTCCGGCCTCCCCGCGAGCCGAGGGCTGCAGCAGCCGAGCGGGATGAGCCGGGCCCGGAGGAGGCCGAGGCCGGAGCATGGCCGGGATAACATCCCGGAGCCAGAGGAAAGGGAAAACAAGACAAAAATGGAGTTAAGAAAGGAAAAACGGCACTGGCATTTAGATAAAAACACACGGGCGGCACATTGCGCGGGACGGAGCCGAGCGTCGCTCCGCGTGATCCGGAGCAGCCGCCGCTCCACGGATCCCATCCCGGCAGCCAGGCAATTCCTGGAGCAATTCCCAGCTCTCTTCCCCTTGGCTCCAGGGCCGGAGCCAGGAGCCTCACGCGCTCCGGAGCAGCGGCCGACGGGATTGTGGAGCGGAGCCGCTCCAAGGGAGGGGCGGCCAGAGCCGGGTCCGGCTCCCAGCTCCGAGAAAGGGGGCGGGGGGGCAGGAAAAACACACCAAGATCCGGAGCGGATAAACAAGCAGCCGGGCCGCTCCGGCCACGGGAAATGACCCATTTTCCCGGCCCGGGAGCCAGGCCCGGCCTGGGAGGCAGAGGGAGTGGCGGGACACGCGTTTCGGCCGCTTCCCGGCAAATCCGGGGGCTGCAGAACGTCCCCCCTGCAGCTGCCTTGGGAAAACCCCTCTGGCACGTCGGGAAAAAGGGGAGCCGGGTTCCGGCCCCAAGCGGGGCCGAAAACACCCATGGAAATTCCCTGGATTATTGTGGCGTGGTGAGAAGGTCGAACGAAGCCCCAAATCCGGGCCGGCCTTGAGCCTGCTGTGCTTTGAAGCGGGAGCTTCCAGCCTGCGGATCCTAGAGGATCGCAAGGAGCGGCGGCTCCCGTCTGCATGGGGGCTGGGAAGAGATGGGGCCGGGAAGAGCCCAGGACGGGAAGAGCTGGCACTGGGCATTCCTAGCCCATTCCCTGCTGGGAATGCCCAGGGCCCGTCCCGTTCGGGCCCCTATTCCCCGTGGAGCGCGGCCAGGTGCACCCAAGGGTGCAGCAGGGTGGCAGATCCATGCGGAGCGCGCGCGCCCGCCGCATCCCGGCGCTCACCGTGCCGCACACGCGCACGTCGTGCAGCCGCCCCCACTCGTCCTCGTAGCTGTCCACCATCATGACGCTGTCGTCCTCGTCGGTGGCCAGCTCGGCGTGCAGGTGCAGCCGCACCTCCTCCCCCAGCGAGTGCATGCCCACGGCCGGGAAGAGCCCGTCGGGAGACAGCGGCATTATGGTGGAGCCCACCTGCATGGGGAGCGCAGGGGCTGCGGGGACGGCTCCGCGGCGCCGCACCCCCTTTCCAAGCGAATTCCAGCCCCGTGTGATGGGAATGGCGCGGGCGGCGGGAGCCCCGCGGCGCTCACCCTCTTCCCGTTCTTGGTGAAGAAGATCTGCGCCGTCTGCACCTCGAAGGAGACGAGCTCGATGCCGCAGCCGATGCGATCGCCGGAGCTGCACTTGGTGCCGAACTGGCGGCCCTTGGCCCGGCCGCTGTAGAGCCTGCGGGCCGGCGCCGCGTGGGCGGGATGCAGACCCCCCGGCACGGGCTCCGCGGGGGGCAGCGCCCCCGGCCCCCCCGGCCCCGGCGGCTCCCACTCACTTGCCGTCGTCAGCATGGTAGGCCACGGAGTCGGGCAGCCAGCCGGGCTGGTGGTCCAGGCTGTAGTACTGGGGCACGAGGCCCACGGCGATGGTGCCGCGCACGCCGCTGTCCACGATGGAGACCTGCGAGGGCCGCGGGGACAGCGGGGTGCCGTGCGGGACCCCGCGGCGCGGGCAGCGCGGCCGGCGCCGCGCGGGACCCACCTCGAAGTAGTTGTTGTCCCTGGTGAGCGGCCGCGGCGCCACGTAGCAGCCGACCTCGCCCGAGTCCCCGTGGTAGCTGCGGGGACCGCGAGGGCACGGTGAGGGGGACGGGAT